TTTGACTACTTTTTTGAGAAGTCCTCCTGCCGAGGGCTACAGGAGGAGGGACATGCCCGACTTAACCCCCGCTCCCTCCCTCCCCCCATCGCCTCTCTGGCCCCCCAGCGAGCGCGCGGGGCGAGGGCACAGCGTGTTCATCGGCGAGAGGCGGCAGATGGTCGACTCGACGATCCTGGGCTTCAGCAGCCTCTTGACCTCGGCAGGTGCGGATCTGCACTGCCCTGGGAGAAGCAGTGCAGCTTCCATGGCATCGGTCTGCTTGCGCTCGTCGCCTGCCACTTCTTCGTATGGTGTGGCCTTCGGTCGGGGATCTTCTGACCCGGGTCAATCCAGACCCGTGTCAGCAGGAAACCAACAAACTGCGATGCAGGAGAAAAAAAAGCTGCAGCGCAGGCCCTCGCAAACCCGGGTCAGCCCATACGCGCGGCCGCCTCGCGGCCACGAGCGGCTCGCGAACCCGGGTCAGCCAGAGGTAGGAGGGCACCAACTATACACCAACACCGATCCTGGCCAGGATCACCCTGGGCCCAGGATCGGTGTATACGCCCTCCTGCCTTGCGCAAGAAGGCATATACACCGATCCTGGGCCAGGATCGGTGTATATGCCAGGACCGTGGGTGATCCTGGGCCAGGATCCTGGGTGATCCTGGGCCAGGATCGGTGTTGGTGTATAGTTGGTGCCCTCCGAAGAGGGGGTCTTCGCAGAGGATCCATGCAGGATCCGGCGCGCTGGCGGACCCCCGCCTGCACGGACCCCCCTCTCGAGGCTCCCGCTATTCGGGGGCCGCTCTCGGGCCCCCCGGGGCCTTCCGAAACGGGCCAGGAATGAAACACTGCCTCCTCCTCCTCCTCCTCCTCCTCCTCCTCCCGCCCTCCTCCTCCGCCCTCCTCCTCCTCCTCCTCCTCCTCCTCCTCCTCCTCCTCCGCCCTCCTCCGCCCTCCTCCTCCTACTCCTCCTTCGGGAGTCTCCTGGACGATGTCTCGACACGACCTGCAAGAGCTCGAGGGCCCGGGCAGGGACCGATCGTCCCGGCATTCCCTGTAGGCCTGCCGACCTGTTCTTCGAACAAGGGCATGCCCGAATAACAAAAACAGTGCTCTTATAACATAATAGCCGACGTGTCAAAACAGGACAGTCTCAGCCAGAAATGTCCGACCATGTCGTGCAACACACAAGAGGTCCTTAGAACTCTTTGGTGGGCCTGTAGGCGAACCCTATAGGCAAGCCAAGACGCGTCGCCACTGCTTGAAGGGGGTTTCGGGGTCACCCGGACGATGTTTCGTCACGACCTGCAAACGTTCCAGGGGTCGGCGGCGAGCGAGGGGGCGACGTGGGGCGGAGGTGGCAGGGCTTCTTAGAAGCCCTCGCGCCTTCTGAACAGGTTCCTGTGCCTTCGGGGAGATCTTAAGGAAACTTCTCAGGAGTCAAGGGGACGTCCGAGCCTTCTGAGAAGGCCTTCTCCTTGCGCGCCGCCGAAACGTTCTAGGGGGGATCGAGGTCGCTGTTCGGCAAGCGGCCTTCTGCCTGAAACGCACAACGTCCGCGGCGACGCTGCTCAAACTGGGCAAGAACTGCCGCTTGTTTTCGTACACATTCTTTCCGTACCCACTTCGATCGCACCGACACGGCCAAACCTGGGATAGAAAGCCATCCTCCAAGAACAGACGACCCTCCGCCGGCAAAGCTGATGAGCATTCTTAGGGCATTCTCCCCCAAGAGACACAAGAACACCCGTCAAACACTGAAAATCATTACTTGGCGGCGAGCGGGGGAAGGAAGTGAGAAGGGGAAGGCCTTCGCCGAAGGCTCGCAAGTCCTCCGGCCTTCTGACACAATTTCTAAGATCTCCCCGAAGACACGGAACATCTCTCAGAAGGCCGGAGGGCTTCTGAGAAGCCCCGTCACCTTCTGAGAAGGCCTTCTCCTTCTCACTTCCCCCCCATCCAGGCCTGGGAAAAAATAGCGAACACTCATGCCGCATTCATCCGTCAATGCCCCCCCCCCCATGATCAATGTGGGCGGTGGGTTGAATGAGCTGCGCTTCGACCGCAGTCTTCCCCGCGCATGCCAACTCTGAGTTTGGGGGAGCGGGGGGGCGCGTCCACCATGATTGCTCCCCTCTACCGTCGCTCGCAGTCGAATGAGGGCACCCTCCCCGAACCGACCTTGCCCTCACACCTCGGCCCGACCTTTAAGGGGGGCTCCGGGCCGCCCCGCTCCGCGGGCCTCGCGCCCGCGGTGCGCCAGACGCGGCTGCCTGTCGCTCCGCGCCCTCGGGGGCACCACCCCAGACAGACCGCTCGCGCTCCGCCGTGGCCCAGGCCGCGACGTGCGCCGGGCGCCTCTCTTTGGGCGTGGCTTAATGGGGGGGTCACAAATGGGGGGGTCAGAAAAGGTCCCCTTTCGTGCCCCTTTCGAACCCCTCCGGACCCCCAGGGGGCTCGTTTAGGTACCGTTTGGGTACCTTTTCGAACCACCCTCGCCCCCCCCCCATTTATGACCCCCCCATTACGCAGCGCCCAATCTCTCTCTTCGCGCCCCTGCCCGGGAACTGCGAGGTGGACGGAGCCGGGACGAGGGCAGCGTCGCGGGGGGGGATAGACATCGAGAGAATCCCTGAGGTCCGGCGGCTTTTTGGAGGATGCCTCGGGCGCCGAGGCCCTCCCAGAGCGGAGAGAAGAGGCTGAGGAGGAGAAGGGGCAGGAGGATGTGGAGGACGAGGAGGAAAGGGGAGGAGGAGGAGCAGGAAGAGGGGCAAGAGGAGGAGGAGCAAGAGGAGGAGGAGCAGGAAGATGTGGAGGGGCAGGAATGGGCAGGAGGAGGAGCAGGAAGATGTGGAGAGCGACCGTGGAGGAGGACAAGAACGAAGATCGCGAAGGCGAGGGGGGCGATGACGAAGGACGACGCCGACGACGACGAGACCGACAACGACGACCAGGAGGCGGATGATAAGCACAATGACGACGAGCAGGAAGAGCAGGAGGAGAACAAGCAGTAAGAGCAGAAGGGGGAAGAGGGGGAGGAGGACAAGCTAGGTGCGCTCGCGCCTCATCTGACATCCTACACCTCCCCCCATGCATTCCCATTGCGCAGATTGTTTCTTCATCCGCGGATGCATGTCATAGATGACCTGCAACTCCAACCAAAAGGCTACATCGTGCTATGCGCAATCCGCAAACTGGGAGCTGCGTGCGCAGGAGGAGGAGGAGCAGGAGGAGGAGGAGGAGGTGGTGGGTGAGCAGGAGGGTCAGCGGAAGGAAGAGAACGAGGACGAACAGCAGCAGAAGGAACTGGAGTGGAAGGAGCGGGAGGAACAGGAAGACCAGGGGAAGGCGGAGGGGAAATGAGGGGGGAGACAACAGTGAAGAACGACTCGGATCCAAACACGTGGCCCGCGCTGGGGCGAGAGTAAAGCGCCGATCCGAAAATCAGTCCTACGCTGCAGCGGGAGCATCATTTTGAAACACCGTGATCAGTTGGATTGCGCAGGCAACATCATGATCCGAATCCTGTCTGCACAACATCACGCGGAGAGGGCCCGCCATCTTCTGGACAACTTTAGAGGAAAGAGGGTTATACTAGTACTCATATGATTAAATGGTGCATCAGAGGAAGGTGACCAGGGGGCGGGGGACGGGGATGCGGGGGAGGACGGGACTGAACGCGAGTATGAGATGGTGGAGGAGAGAGAGTGGGAGGGACAACGACGATGCCGAAGCTGGCGCGGCTCTGGAAGCTGTCGCATTCCAGATCCCCCCTGGCTTTCGGAAGGCTCTCGGAGGCCACCACTGGCCTCTTCTTGAGAAGGGATCTTGGCCCCCCCGGGTACAGCCGCTGCGGCGGCGGCGCCCGCCGCAGCATGGCGTCCGCCGTTTTGCCAGCGCCGCCGACGTCGAGGAGCACCACGCAGAGCCCGCGAGCGCCACGGAATGGTGCGCAGCACAAAATATGATCACGACCGCCAGCCGGCGAGAGGAAGCCTGACCCCAGCCAACACCACTGTGAGGAGTGCAAACGCCACACGCTAGCATGCCAGACCCTTCAGGTGCAACGATAGCCTGCGAGCGCTCTGCGAGCAACGGCAACACGTGAAGCCTACAGCACCCAGCGAGCATCCCCGCAGACTGTGGGCAACCCTGCGGTGTGCGAGGACCAACGTAGCCTGCGAGCACCACGCACGCGCAACGATCGCACCCCGCATCGAGGCCATGATGCATGCGTGTACTGCGACAGTACAAGGCGCGAGCTGCGGGGAGGGAGGGGAGGGGCGTTGCGTGATGGGTAGGGAATGGGGGCTGGTCATGACGCGCTTTCTGGGCCATCAATGGACTGAAACTCTCCGCGACCATCATCTCGAATCAGCAACAAATGTATGGTATCTCTGCTGTCGCGACTGTGGCAACACGGTGCAGATGGTGACCCTCACTCGAATTGCGCCTCGCGAAGAATACGATAGTAAACAATCCACTTTGCTTTGCAAGTATATTCGCACACCTGCGCAAAGGACCACAGGACAAGCGAGCTGCAACTGGATTCGAGCCTAACGCCCTAACGCGAACTTGCACGGACCCCCTGCTTACTTATGTATGACCGTGCTGGATGCGTGCCCGCTTCGCATGACGAGCTTTGCCGGTACGCATGCCATCCGTTCTACGCGCGTGCAATGCCGTGTTCACGTTGCACTCGGATTTACACAAAACAAAGTTGCGCTGTTGCGTGCCTACTGGCGCAGGATGGGCTCCCTTCGATCCAACTGCCAGTGGTCCACATGGAATGACATTGCTGTCGGCATCGGCAGGTTGCTCTACACAACGATGGGAAGACCAGCTGAGAACGACATCCACATCCCGAGCGAGCGATGTACGGATACATGCTGGACAAACACACACGTGCCCTGCGCACGGGCGCGACGCCATCAGACGGAACACGACGAGTGAGTTGGCAGGTAAGCGATGGCACAGGATGAGCATATGAGAATTCGCAGGAGGAAGCTGGCCTTCATCTCGCTGCGCCCCCAATGGCAATGCATGATCACCCGCTGCAGCAAGCGCGTGGCGCGCTTAGTCTGCGGCGGTTCGCGGGAAGCGGAGGGGGAGAAATAAGAAAATAGGCGCAAGGAAAGAAGACACGGACCAACTCCAGATTCTCCATAGGATGGGAGGAATATGTACCCTAACAAATGACTTCTGCCACTCCAAAAACCTGATCACGACACTCTCCCGCTTCCAAAGCGGAAGGGAAGCGCACTTTCTGCACGTGTGCCTTCTGAGCCGAAAGCCGGTAGAGGTTGGACGAGACTTCCAAGGATGGCAACAAACCATATTGAAGAGACCCTGGGACACACAAATAAATACACACAAATAAAACGAATCCACATATTTTCCCATATGTTCTGGGTTTCTGTCTTCCCCCCACTTCCTATATTTTCCCATAGTTTCCGAGGAATTGACGATTAATTATGTCTGTGTGTTTGTTTTCCTCCTGACATATATGCGTCTAAAGATGGGCGAAGGCGGGACACGTAGTTCTGCAGCACGGGCTGACTCACCGCATGGGATGGCGCTACGCCGCACGCGCCCTCTCCGTTGCTGTACGAGGCCCTCCCTCGGACCACCAGTCCACGTCGCCTCCCCCCTCCTCTCCCGCAGGGAACGGGGGAGGGAGGGAGGGTAAGAGGGGGGGATCGCATTGGTCTTGGCGAGGGTATCTTGAGGCAATCTCTTTTGTCCCCTCTCTCTCACCCCCTCTGTGTCGCTCCAGGCACAATGCATGTATCGATCTGTATGGATAGTTATGCGTTTGTGTCTGTGTTCTCTGTTCTCTCTCTCTCCCTTCCCTGGCCCTGGAACCAAAACCAAATACGGAAGGAACATCTGCCCGGCCCCAGATATCCCGCGCCATTCAAGCCGTCAACGCCACGGAACTCTCCTGATCCAGAACGAATCGATGACACGGAATGCGATTGGATGTCTGGGGCGACCTTTATCTTTCCACTTCGATCCAAACTGAAAAAATTGGTTAACCCCTCACTGTGCAAAAAAGTGGTAGATGAAGGGGATGGGTCAACGGCGATGGCCAGTAAGACTCTGATATCGCCTAGAACCAGTATGGGCGCGCCTCTGCAGAAGATTGCGCGTGCATGGCAAGCAACTCCTGCTCGCAGGAGAGCCAATACTCGAATCGACAAGTCGGATCGGCGATCGAAATGAATCGGATCGGCGGAAATCGGCAGCCGAGTCAGAAAAAGTCGAATCGGCGGAAATCGGCAGATTAGCATGCCCCCCATAAGAACTCGGAGCCCACATCGGAATCCCAAGTCGACTCGGAATCGGAATCGGGAGCCATCGACATCGAATCGAATCGAACTGGAGAGGTGAGCCCTCCCGCAGGGGAGCAGAAAGAGACCCCCCCACACCCCCACCTGGCCCCCCTCCCCAGAGGGGAGAAGACAGGCCGGGGTGGGGTGTGCTTCTCGTGCCGCCTCGGCGGACCGCCCTCACGGCCGGGTCCCGCCACCCTCCGGCGCTGCGGGCCTTCCTGGAGACACTCGCTGCACTCATGCGTCGATGCTGCGTCGGGCGTCCGTCGGCTCGAGTCGAGCTCGAGTCGGACTGGATACGTCAGATGAGCCCCGGGAAAAGGCCCCCAAACCAGCAACTACGTGCTTGCTTAGAGTTAAGAGAGCTGTAAGGAAACATAATGAACTTCACTCGAAACGTGTTCTTAGACAGTCGTGCGGGTCAAGATCTACGAAACGCTTACGGGCCGGGAAAGAAAGAGAAGCTCCAAGAACACGCCCAGGGTCTAGTTCAACCTCTTGATCCTCTGAGATCTCGAGTCCATGAACCTTTGCGCTGCTTCGTACGTTTTCTGGTGGGTGTAAATTTCCCAGCTCCTGCTAGAAGGGCCTTGGAAGGAGGCAGGGGGCCTTGGAAGGCCATGCCGACACTTTGCGAGCGGGGTGCGGCCAGCGAACGCCGCCGAGGATGGGCCGCAGGGGACGGATGCAAGGGTGATTCACCGTGGAAAGCTGCTCGTCCTCACTGTGCGGGTTGAGTGCAGGTGAGCCACGAGAAGGCCAGCACCTGATCTCCCCACTCCCGCCGCCTCCCCTCCCGCTCCCCTTGCTGCCGCCACGGCTGCTCCGCCGCCTCTGCGCAGACGGAGGCCCGGTCCCGCCTAAGAGGCTTGTCCGTGAGCGGGCGGGGCGCGGCCTGGAAACGCAGCAACGGCCTGCACGCGTAACGTGTACATTGGCGTCGAGCGAGGCGGGGAAAAGAGAAGAACAAGGCCATCTCGGAAGGCGGCGGGGCTTCTCAGAAGCCCTCCGGCCTACTGACAACCGAAAAGGCTCAGAGAGTTCTCAAAGGGTGGAGGACTTCTAAGCCTCCTGAGAAGGCCCGCCCCCTCTCACTTCCCCCCCAGGCTGGCCCTTCGAGGCTGGTGCGTGAGCGGGCGGGGCGCGGCCTGGAAACATCACAACGGCCTGCACGCGTATCACGCAATCGTGCAAGAGGTCGACAACGATCGGATCGGACAGAAGATTGGAGGGGGGATGGCAAAGGGGGGGGTTGCGACTCAGCTCGTGCAGACTGTCTCCCCGACCAGGGGGGCGGGGCCGAAACCAGCTGCGTGCGGCAAGAATCACACACACAAACACACACGCACGCACGCACGCACGCACGCATGCACATACTCATGCACATACGCACGCACGCACGCACGCACGCACGGACGCACGCACGCACGCACGCACGCACGCACGCACAAACACACTCTCTCTCTCACACACACACGCACACGCACACGCACACACACACACACGCACACACACACACACGCACACACACACACATACGTACACACGCACACACGCACACACACACACACACGCACACACACACACACACACGCGAAGAGACACACAAACACACACACACACACACACACACGCACACACACACACACACACGCACGCGCGCACGCACGCACGCACGCGCGCGCACGCGCGCGCACACACGCGCGCGCGCGAAAACACTCACACACACGTCCTCTAACCCCATCTGGGAGACCTCTAATAATTGATTGAGGGTTCCGAGGCCCGGCAAGGACCCCCGGAGGCCGACAACAGCAAACACTATCCCGTCGTGATTTTTCTGTTATAGCGAGAGGGGGTCTGGGTTCAGAGCTCCAGCAAGCCGATGACGCATCTCTGCGGCGGCGGGTCTTGAGATCCGACGTTGCAATAAACAACTGCAACATCGCAAACTAATTATGACTGGACCCCTGGACCCCATCTTTCTGCATCACTTTCCGAGCCAGATCGATATGTGAGGGTCGTGAGGCACGAAATGGAGCGAAAAGGCCCAGCTCGACACAAATTGAGTCGCCAGGATCTCATACTTCGAGGAGGCCCAAAGCACGCAAAAAACAAGGCAAGGGTCGAGGTCTCGGTGCCTTTGCCTCCTCTGACCCAGACCCTCGACGTCATGATTTTTTCATGACGTCGACCCTCAGAAGTCTGCACTCATTCTCCAGGACTGGTTCTTTGTCCTGACCTGTTCTGTGGACGGCCCCGAGGCCCGGCAATTAGGGGCCCCCAGAGGCCGAAACTTGCAAAAACCCTGCCGTCGTGATTTTTGCTCCAGACTCGAAGGGGTCTGGGGACTTCAACAGGGACCGACCGTCGCGGCATTCCTATAGCCATACCACGAAATGTTCTTAGAACCCAAAAATGTTTTAAGAACAAAAACCTTAGGTGTACAAAGTCAGAGCCATAATTCAGTCATTTGTGTGTGTCTGTGTGGCTTTTGTGTCTTTTTGTGTTTTTTTTTATGTTCCGTCCGGTGCTTTGTTGTGTTTTTTGTGTGTTGTTGTTTTTTGTGCGGGAGGAATCTGCCGCGGTCGATCGCCCAGGAGGGTTCGACTGCCGCCCCGGCGCGGATCGCCCCCGCCAGTGTTCCCTTAAAAGGGGGAGCTTAGGCGTGGGCTTTTCCCGTAGGCGCCCCCGCTCGCCTGGGAGGGCGCGGGGGGTCCTGGATCGCCTGGGGGGTTCCAGGACGGGCCGACTCGCCCTGGGGGGGGTCGGTCCGAGCGGTGGAATCGCCCGTGGGGGTCTCCGCCAATCAGTTCCTGCACGAGTCGCCCGGGGTGGTCTCGCGCGGGAACAGCCCTCGCGCATCGCCCAGGGGGGTCCCACGGGGGCGAGGTAGCCCGGGGGGGCGCCTCGGAGGACAGTGCACGGCACGAAGGGTTCCCGCGAATCTTTCGCGGGACTCTCGCGAATTCGTCGCGGGGGGCCCGGACTCTCGCGAATTTTTAGCGGGAGGCGTAACGGTCTGGACAGTCGCGCAGGGGGGGGGGGGGCGAAGAAGAGAGGAGGGGAGGTCCGATGCCAAAGCCTCGAGGGCCACCTCCGGAGCCAAGCGAATGACGAACAATTGGAGCAGGGAGCGGCTAAGGATAGAGAAGGGGGGCGAAGGATAAGAGCCAGAGGGGAGCGCGAGCGGCGCACCGAGGAGCAGAAGCGGAGAGAAAGGTAGTTCTCCGGTTGATCACGCCAAGAAAAGGGCGAGGTTGATGACTAAATTCAGGCTCTGATTTTGCGCACGTAAAAAACAATGTTCTTAGAACACAAGTGTTAAAACAAGACAGCCTCCGCCAGAAAGGTTCTCAGAACATTTCGTGGGAAACCGCAAAAGGCTGTTAGAACACTGCTTGGTGGGGCTAGAAGTGAGCCGGGACGCTTCGCCACTGCTTGAGGGACTCTGCCCGGCCAGCACGCCCGGCCGACGCAGCGGCGCCCGGCGGCACGCCGCCGGCGGTGCGCGCCGTGCGGCGCCGTGCCGCGCCCGGCTGCGCGCCGCGGCCGCCGCGCCCGGGCGGCCACGCGCCGCCGCCCACGTGCCGTGCGCGCCGCGCCTCGGCCGAGGTCCTGGCGGCTCCACCCCAGCAGCCCGCTGCTGGGAGGGGGCCACAGGTGAACCCTACCCCTGCCCCCCACGATTTCTGAGGGGGTAGGGGTATGGTTCGCAGGTGGCCCTCTGTTTGGAGGCAACTCTTGGG